GGGATGAAGGAATGAGAGGACTTAAATAAAGATGACTTCAGGTTTCTAGTCTGAATAGCTGGAATAATGGAGTTGCCAGTAACTAAGATGAAGTTAGACTGTGATTAGAGCAGGGTTTTTTGGGTAAGCAGGATTAGGATTTCAATTTTGCCATATTACGTTTAAAGTGACTGTTAGACATTTAAGTAAAGATGACAACTAGGCATTTGAATATGTGAGTCTGGGGTCCAGGAGAAGTATGGGCTTGAAATATAAATTTGGGAATCATTAATGAATAGTAGGCATTTAATATCCTGAGACTGGTTGAGATCATCAAAGAAAGAATGTGTCACACCTAGATACATCATAGCCAAACTGTAAAAAGCCAAAGACAAAGAGAAAATCTGGAAAGCAGCAAAAGGTGATCCACTCAACATGGACAAGGGATCTTCAATAAGATCAACAGCTGATCTCACACTAGCTATTCTCACTGACTATGGAGGCCAGAGTGAATGACATATTCAATGTGTTGAAAGAAAAGGACTATCATCCAAGAATTCTGTGTCTTGTAAAACTATCTTTCAAAAACCACAAGAGAGGACCAGGCGTGGTGGCTCATGCCTGTAATCCTAGCACTCTGGGAGGCCGAGGTGGGTAGGTCATGTGAGCTTAGGAGTTCGAGACCAGCCTGAGCAAGAGTGAGACTGTCTCTACCAAAAATAGAAAAAATTAGCCAGGCATGGTGGCGCATGCCTGTAGTGTCAGCTACTCGGGAGGCTGAGGCAGGAGGATCACTTGAGCCCAGAAGTTTGAGGTTGCTGTGAGCTAGGCTGACACCAGGGCACAGAGCCCGGGCAACAGAGGGAGATTGTCTCAAAACAAAACAAAACCATAAGAGAGGGACTGGGCACAGTGGCTGACACCTGTAATCCCAGCACTTTGGGAGACTGAGGTAGGAGGATCACTTGAGGCCAGCCTGGTCAACATAGTGAGACCTCATCTCTAAAAGAAATATTTTAAAAATTAGCTGGGCATAGTGGTACGTGCCTGTGGTCCCAGCTACTTGGGAGGCTGCAGTGGGAGGATTCCTTGAGCCCAGAATTTTTTAAAATCAGTTTTGCATCCCCCAGCATTTTGCTGACCAAGACATGTTCATCTTATTTTATCGATTGGCTAAATTTTTCCTAACACAAAATATTCTTAAATGTCCATGCACACATTTAGCATCAGTTTTCAATTACATTTCCTTATATGTTACCATAACAATTTCCCAGTTTTAATTGTGATCAGCAATATCTACCATTAATCACTACTCATACACAGTAGTGGGAAAGAAGAAAAAGGAAGCACAGTGGCTCACACCTGTAATCCCAGGAGGCCAGGGTGGGAGGATCACTGACCATCCTTGGCAACATAGTGAGACTTATCTTTACAAAAAAAATAAATAAAAAATCAGCTGGACATGGTGGCACGGGCCTGTAGTCACAGCTACTGGGCTGAGCCTCGAGGATCACTTGAACCTGGGAGTTGGAGGTAGCAGCGTGAAAGGTGCTCTTATTAATAACCTATCTAACAGAGAAAAGTAAACTGTCAGACAGAAAGTAAGAGAAATAAACTCACATCACACCTACCCTTTGTCTAATTAAAACACATGTGGCCTAACTTTTTATCTCTGAGTTCTTCCTCAGCCTTGAAGAGCCCGAAGCAGACAGCAGGGGCACCATCTCCCTGCTCCAACTCACTGCTTCAGTTCCTGCCAAAAAAAACAGATTTCAAGGATTCAGATAACTCAGCCTCACAAAAAAGAAAAAGAAATAAAGAACTTCCTGACATCCTATAGCCTCTTTTGTTATCAGTCTGCTGAAGCAGAGGGAAAAAAGCCATTTTTACCCTTTAAAAGCACCAAGCAACTTTCCTCACCACCCAACATTTCTTTACTCTCTCTCTCTTTCTCTATCTTTCTTTATTTCTCAGAAAAATAAATAAACCTTTACTTCTGTATATCCTAATCACTTTCTGAGAATTTTTTTTTCACCTGTGTATGGACTTCTCACGCTAACATTTGGTGGCCAGCATGGGGAAGTCATGTCACGGGGAAACTGAGTCATTGTCTGCCTCTGTATGAGGAGCTCACTTCTTGGCTTCTGCCTTGAGACTGCTCCCTCCTCTGCTGTACGACTCCCAGGGCTTCAGTTTCAGTGCTGTCATTCAGAATTTGGTAAGTCTCTTGGTCTCCAGAAACTCTGGGAATGGTCATATGCACATATGCACAAGGAGGAGAGTGGTAGCTTTCTGGTTTGGTCAAAGGAAAATCTAGCATTGGGCCTACCACTCAGGAGGGTGGCAGGGAAGGACACTTCCTAATCACTTCCCCAGGGTTTCAAGGGGATGCCTGGCTTTGAGGGAAGATCACTAGATCCAGGTCTGAGTCAGAACTCGGGGACACCGTTTTTTGGCCAGATCTCCAGGTCATGGTCTGACTCAGACTTCAGGGACATCTGATGTCTGGTCAGAATTCCATAGTTCATCAGGGTCATCCCCTCAGACTTCTTCTGTTTTCAATATATGACTATCCTCGAAATGTCCTTTTCTCTTTCATAGTTGTCATCATGGGCAACATTGTGTTAAATAAAATTTGGCCCGAGCATGGATCTCTTAATGATAATGGTATTCTGCCACTCGACCTTCTGTTGCCACTGGCATGGCAAGGAGGTCTAAAGTTTTTCATGTTCAGGCTTCCTTAAACTTGCAAGATATCCTCATCTTCACTGTGCCTGCCACATGTTACTTCTTACTCCTGCATCTCTCACTGTCTTCACTTTTCAGATAAGGTTTCTTTTTCAGCTCCCCTGTTCCTCTTCCTCTTTCTTCTCTGTCTTCACCATTCTTGCCTAGCCGCACTTGCCAAGACCAGCCAAGCTTCCCACCTGTACACCAACTCCCTCTTTGGGAGGCCATGGGGTCAGAAGACATTGTAAATTACTCAGAGCCGGTATAAAAATCCAGTCCTTTTCCTTTCATGACTGTACTCTTGACTACTTAGATCCTGACACTCAGGAGGGACAATCCATCCTGACAATGCACTTCATCTCCCAGTTGGTCCCCAATAATCAGTGTAAATTCCAAAAGCTTGAAAAGGGGCCTCAGACTCCGCAGAGGAGCTTTTAGACCTGGGCTTCAAGGCCTTTCATAACCAAGATGAAGAGGGGAGAGAGAAGGAGGGCAGTGGGGCTGGCAGCAGGCTCTGGGAGCAGAAGGAAGCTTTTCAAATGGTGGCGACCACTGTGGGAGAAATTTTTCAGAGACAAAGATACCCCAGGGGCTCAGGCAAGAAGACACCAGGAGACCACGCTTTTCTCCAGGAACTGAGCTCTGCCTCCACTATGATTCCGGGTCTCTGGAGTAAGAAATGCCCCAGGGAGTACTGTGCACTCTCTACAAAAGGGAGGGACACTGGAGGAGAGAGTGCTCTCTCCTTGAAACAGGGGACCTGGGGACTGTACTCACCCTCTGGAGTGGGGAGCCGCCATGAGCTGGCATCTTCCACACCTGTGGATCCTGTAGGACTACTTCGGTCTGATGGACAGACCCTGGCTTTGGAACAAGCTCAACTTTGCCATACTGGGTTGGCTGAGCCTTAGGTAACTCTCTCTGTCACAGGTGAGCAAATTGACTTTAATCAACACTAGGACCACTTCCTCTGCTCTTCCTGAATTTTCAAGACCTCTATTTCCCTCTCCTATGTTCATAGTCAGAGTGAAAAATAAAATACAAGCCCCCTGTGTACTCCATAGCTCCTCTGCTCGCTGGGAGGTCAGGTCTTTGTTTACTCCTTTGAATACTTCCCAATTACCCCAAACTGGGAAGATATTGTGGTTAAGTTAGACACCTAAGTCCTTCAACCCCACAGGTTTCCTTTCTCAGGCTCTTGAAAAAAACTTAACTGAGACTTTACATACAACCTTCTTGTTCCCTTTATCTAGGTCTAAAGTCCTAACTCTGTGCTTATAGGAAAAAAACAAAAACAAGGTAGGAGAAACCAGTAAGTAGGAGAGAAAGAGATGTGAAAAAAGTTTGTGCTCAGGCTAGAGTGAAGTGCGGTGGCGTCAGCCAGCTCACAGGCAACTCAAAGCATCCTGGGCTCAAGGCAATCCGCGTGCGCTCAGGCCTCCCAAGTATGGCTGGGACTACAGCGCATGTGCCACCATGGCCCGGCTAATCTTTGATATATGTAAGCTGTTAAGTTGGTCAATCGTTTCTTCTATTTTAGTAGAGGCAGGGTCTCACCAGCCTGGTTTTAACTCCTGAACTTG